ATTTGAGAAGAGCTTGTCTCTTAATTTCTTGGCAGCAGGTCACATTCGTGTTTGCAGCACAAAATTTTTCAACATTAGTTGCTAGGATGAGCAGAACTAAGAAAAAAGATGTGACAACTCTCATGGAACCAACCATGATCCCAACAAAGACACAAAACGCATCCAAAATTTAACAGCCGATGAAAATAAAAGAGACAAGTTGATGAACCATGGAACATATACTAATAAAATGTATAGCCCAAACTACACTTCACGTTAGCATAGCGAACTCTGATTTTTGTCAACAGTGATGGGTGACTTTTCATCTCTTTATTCAACAGAGCGTCATTGAAGATGGAGTCAACTTTTTGTACTCTTTAATTTATATTTCTTTGTCGATGCTGGTTTAAGTTTCATGAAAAATAGAAGTATGATATGCCAAGAACAGTTCATATATATTTCTAGCAGGTTTTTCACTCTCCCAAGAATATTTGAATAAAGAGAAATTCAATGCAATGAAGTTTCCTAAGTATTTTCTGTCAAATAGAAAAACTCAAATTACCTAATTCTTCCTTCAGGGTTTATCCCCACTTGGCCGTTCTTTAGTCTTCTTTCTTGTGTATTTTTCATGGTTTACTAATTGATCTCATTGTATTCTGGCACAAGCAATCCTCGTCTGCCTTTCAATGCAATTTTTGTCCAACAATCTGCTGCTAGTAATATGAAGGGACCAATGACTCAAAGAGCAATGGAAGTAGAACAAATAGAGAGAAGAGACAGAATATAGAGGGAAATTTAGAGATAGACAAATTATAGAGGAACAAAGGAAAATCTTTTCACCGAGGTGAAACCAGAATAATCAATGGGAGGAAAATTCTGAATTTCAAAGTCTCAATTACTAATCCAAATAGACTATTTATTTGTGTGACGAAAAACCTTCAAATGGAGAAAAAGACGAAAAGCAAAAACAAACAAAAAAAAAACAATAAGAAAATTGAATTTGCTTATTGACGAATTTTTATAAAAAATTTATATTATAAATTAAAAAATAAAGCTAAATTATCCAAAAAATAAAAAAAATCAAAATTTTCTGGATACGAAATTAACACATCTACTAATATAATTTTTTTAAAAATATCAATTCAAAAAAAGAAAAAAATAAAAAATCAAACATATATTTTTAATAATAATATCAAGTGCCCCATATTAAAAAAATCAAAATATAAAAAAAATATTAAATATTTAAAAAGTTAATAAAAAAAATAAAAATAAAAAATCAAATGACATGACATGTATATAATTGATATAAAGTGGGCCTAACAAAACTATTAAACAAAAAAATATTTATCAATTATGTAAAAAATAAAAAAAGAAAAAGTTTTTAAAAGGGAAAAAAATAAACATGTCATGTACTCTTGATAGCAAGTGAATTTTAAAATAAAATTAAAATAAAAAAATAATTTTAAAAAAAATTAAAAAAGGAAGAACTAAAAAAAATTTTTTTTAAATAGTATAAATGAGTCCCCAAAAATCTAAAAATATATATTTTAAAAATATTGAATATAATAAAAAAATAAAAATGGGTGAAAAAATAAAATCAAAAGATAAATTTAAAAAATTAGACCCCACACCTTAAAAAAATTATAATAACATGTGGGTCCTACCAACTAAAAAAACATAAAACCAAAAGATAAAGGAACTGGCTGAGAAAAAAATTGGATCCCACAACTTTGAAATAAAAAATTAAAAAAAAAAAGATGTAAGCCCCTCATACTTTCAAAAAAATGTAAAAGGAAAAATAGGTGGGGACGAAAAAAATAAATATGAGACTACCACATGACAGGCCACACAATTGACATGTAGTGCTCTCTACTACAAATTTACTGCATTTATATGTAGGATATCTGTAATTGCAAGAAAAGAGCCAAAGAAACAGGAGAGTAAAATCTCGATAAAGGGATAGTTCTTCTGGGTGATTTATCGACATATATACTACCATTACAATAAAACCATAGATAACTCGCCCTGAACAGCATCTTTTTTGTGAGAATTTATATGTAAAGGGTTTTCAGAAATTAAGATAGGCATAATGGCATTCAACTCGTATTGGAGAGTGGCACGAAATAACCAATAAAGAGATCGTTGTTTATAACAATTCACAAAATAAATAGATCTTAAGAGTCTCTTTAGTTTATGAACCACCCTGAACAGGATCTATTTGTTAGAAATCAACAAATGAAATCAAAATTTATGTTTTTTTTTTCTTTTTGGCATGAAATAATTATACGAAGAGATCACTGTTCATGATGTTTCACCAACAAGGAGAGAGACAAATGCTTATTGATGAAATGCCATAAACATGAGCCCTTTATGTTTTTTTTTTTATGAGAATTTATATTCGAAGGGCTTTCACAAATCAAGAAAGGCATTTAATTCGTGCTGAAGAGTGATACGAAATAACCAACAAAAATATTGTTGTTCATAGCAATTCACAAAATAAACAAATTCTAAAAGTCTTCTTAATTTATGAATTGCCCTAAATATGATCCATTTGTTAGAAATCAACAAATGAAATCAGAATTTATGTTTTTCCTTTTGGCGTAAAATAACTATACAAAGAGATCATTGTTCATGGCATTTCACCAACAAGGAGAGAGACAAATGCTTATTGATGAAATGCCATAAACATGAGCCCTTTATGTTGTTTTTTTTTTTATGAGAATTTATATTTGAAGGGCTTTCAGAAATCAAGAAAGGCATATAGCATTCAACTTGTGCTGGAGAATGGCACGAAATAACCAACAAAGAGATCGTTATTCATGGCAATTCACAAAATAAACAGATAATTAAAGTCTCTCCTTAATTTATGAATCGCCCTGTAAAGGATGCATTTGTTAGAACTAAAATTTATGTTTTTCTTTTTGGCATGGAACAGCTATACAAAGAGATCATTGTTCATGGCATTTCACCAACAAGAAGAGATACAAACGCTTATTGATGAAATGCTATAAACACGAGCCCTTTATGTTGTTTTCCAGAAGCAGCAAAAGAGGTGAAAATTCCTTGTTTGCCATCTACTGGTATTTATAGCATCTTTAAGGCTACCAAACACTTAATTGGATTAAACAAGTGACCTTGTTTTGGAAATCTTAAAATTTTTTTCCTCACGTTTCTTAAATTAGTTTTGAAAATGGGATACGCGTATCTAAAATTCATGGTAATTGAGATTTTTTTCCATATTCTTTTATTTTGATTCTTACAAATTCTTCTTAGATTGCCAAAAGAGGAATTCAAACATCTCTCACAATTTTTGTAATTCAATTAAGTTTGGACACAATTCCTCGGCCAGTATTCATCCAAATAAATCTTAATTACATGCAAACAATAAGATAACTTACTAATCAAAAATAAAATCTCAGTCAATATTTTTCCCAATCTTAATTATTTTGAGTAAGCATATCTAAAATTCATGAGTGAGATTTATATCTATTCTTACGAATTCTTAATTAAAGAAACCATCTCTTCACAATTTTGTAATTCAATTCAATTTAGACACAATTTCTCGGCCTATATTTGTCCAAATAAATCGTAATTACATGCAAGCAATAAGATAACTTACCAATGTAAAATAAAATCTAAGCCAATATTTTTCTTCTATCTTCTAAGAAATAAAGGTAAAAAAAAATTAGCTAATATTTTTCTCCCATCTTCCAAAAAAAAATTTGATCACAGGACAGGTGTGCCATTTACTGTGGACCCTACAGCCCATCTCTAATTAGCGATGGCGACGGTCTAATTGAGATGAGTTCTTCTTGACTCGATTTTTTAATCCGACTCTTTGATGTTCACATCCGACTCCAACTCGACATCAAATATTATTTTTTAATATAAATTAAATTATGATTATATATAAATATAATATTTTATTAAGTTAATATTTAAATTAAAATATTAAATAATAATTTTATTAATATAATATATAAATATAAAATTAAAATATATATATTCATGTTGATGTTATCTAAAATCAAATTTTGATCAAATTTAATTTTAAAAAAAATTGATTTAGATTCGACTTAAAATTTAATTTTAAAAATAATATTTTTTTAAATATACTCAAATCGATACAATTTAAAATTCGACTTTAACCTTAATTCAATTTTAAAAAATTAATTTGATTTTGATCCGAATTCAATTTTAGAAAAAACAAACCCACATTTGACTTAATTTTAATTTTAAAAATAAAATTCAATCCTATTAAATTAAGACAAATCAAAATCTATAAAATATATATTATTTTATCATCTTTATCTTTGACACTAAACCTTTTGGCTATCACTTTCAGAAACACAATTGAATTCATCAAATACGATTTATTATATCAACTTTATCTCTATTTTAAGAATTTCAATTAAAACTTTTTGAACGATTATTTTATCATTTATGATATTAAACTTTTTTATTATACATAAATATAATATTTTTAAATTAATATCTTAAATTAAAATATTAAATAAGAATTTTATTAATTATAATAAATATAAATAAAATTAAATAAATAATAAAAATATATTTGTATATAAACTCAAATTAGACAGGACGATATAATTTAACTTAAAAAAACCTGACTCCAACTAGAAAAGCCCAATTCATCTCGATTTGATCTCCAATTTCAAAGGAAAATAAAATCTTATTATATTAGAGTAAATCAGGACAAATCGATATCCGTATAATAAAATTTAGATCTTATTAAATATGATAAAAATTAAGTCTTATCAAATCCGGACAAATTGGAAAATTAGATCTTATCAAATCGAAATTGTATGATAAAAATTATTTTTCCTTAAGCAGATTATTCTGGCATGCCAGACTATTTTGCCTCCCTTACCGGATTATTTTAGCATCCCTATTACTCTGACTTTAAGCTTTCTAGTATCACTTCGAGGAAACCTGTTTTAAGTTTGGACATGCAATTTAAACATGATTCCATAAGAGAATTTACCAAAATCGAAATCGAACCATACAGAAAAAGATTGAAAAGAAACCCAAATCACAGGACTGACAACAACAACAACTTATGATAATCAATTACTTAAGTTTCAACAGAAACCGACGGCCAGACCCCAAAGTTTTTTTATGGTGCTTTAAAATGTAGAACATTGTCGTAGAAATAGTAGGAACAACATAAATGACTTAAAGAGAAGGACTGGTATATATGATAGCCGTTTGATCCTAGCTAGGCAGAGATCAATTGCAAACTGCAAAGCAGTAGAAATTAACTAAGAAGCCGCCGCACCGGTGAGCTCCTCAGCCTTATCCTTTATCTCCCGAGCCTTGCTAGCCAGCTTCATAAGCGCGTATTCCAACTGAGCCACTCCTGGTGGGTTTCTTCCTGTAAGATACCTATAATCATTGAAAAACAAAAATGTCGATTTTCTATCATTAAAAGAAAAAATAAAGAATAACTTGTTTTAATTAATTTGTAAATGCACCTATAAATCCAGGACAGCACAAAAATAGCAGCAACACTGAAACCACCGGAAGCCACGAAACCTGTCACTAGGAGAGCTGCTGCAATGACAGAAGGGACAAGAACAGGACTGAATATGATGAAAAGTGGAGTAACTATGGTGAGTCCAATAACCGTGGTAGCCAGGGTCAAACCAGAGAGGACTAGGAGGGACCCCCCGGCCGTGACAGCAGCAGCCGTTTTCATCACCTTCTGAGACCTTGGTCGAGAGTTCCGTTGGTGTTCTTGTTCTTGCTGCTGGCCGTAACACTGATCAGCCATTGACGCAAAAATTCAAAACGTTTCTTTGAAGAATAAAAATTGTTGTATTAATCAATTGACTGATGCAGCTATTAGCTTGCGGGAGAGCTTGGTTATATAGGGGGAAAAGAGGGGGCACGTGTTGGAAGAAGGCAAGGCACGTGTTGAGGATGCTTTCATGCGGGGGCTGCATGCAAGAAAGTGGCTTGGTTTTAGGACCCGTAGATTTCTGTTGGATTTGAGGTTAGTTGAAAACAGAGTGTAGAGAAATAAAGACAAAAGTTTGTAAGTATTCAAGGGTGATCATTGTCATTGAGTGCCTTCGGATATCGGAGGCTGTCAATGGCGGATTCAAAATTCCTTTTTAGATGTTTATTTATAAATTATATAAAAAATTACGAATTTATTAATTTTATCAACTAAAAAATATGAAGAAAATTTAAAAAATTATTTATTATTTATTTTTTAATCTTTTGAGGTGTTCATAAATATCCTACTTCAAAGGATGATCTACCACTGCATGGCGCTGAGTATTACTCAACAATAGTTAACTGATTGTTACTAGTATTACTATATTTTTAACTCTTTCTATTTACAAAATTTTAAAACCATTTTTTAAAGAATAAACATATTTTTAGTTTGTCAATAACAATAAGTAAACAAAAACACTTTAAAACCAAAACTTTTAATAATTTCTTTAATTTATTTAACAAGATAAATTAAAGAATTTGTCAATTGCCAATTCAATATATTTGATACGTGGGATTTTCCTTTATCATCATTTTAATACTCTCATTCATATGTAGGGATAATGAACTTATTACGTGATATGAACTTCATGAATAAAAACAATGCCTATAAATGGAGGCAACGTTTGCTTTGATTATTATGATAAATTTTACATGAATAAAGTGGTTTTTGTTATATTTATATATCCAAAATACCTTCAATTACTTTTATCATCACTCTAATAGTGCCACAAATTAATAAGTTGAAAAAGAAAAAGGGATTTTTTTTTTTTTTTGAGATGAGATCAATTTCAAGTTTTAAACTTTCTTGAGATAAGGAATGGTTATTAATTAGACGATGCTTCCATTTAGTAATTTGTTTCAGTTTGAACTTTAATTCTTGGATCTTATAATACATTGGCATAATCATCTTAACCACCTCATATGCTTTAGCTAGGTAGTTTTAAGTGTAAAAATTGAAAAAAAAAAAAAAAAGACTACTACTTTTACATACTTTAAAGCTTCAATTTCAAATAAAATCCAACCTATATTTCTATAATTCTTGTATTTAACAAGTTACACGCATCTCATTCACTGAGAATTTAAAAATATAAGACACAAATTGGTTATCCTATTTTTAGTTACTCCTCTAAAGCTAGAAAAAAAATCATATGTTGTATTTTTTTTAAAATTTGAAGTAAAAAATATCTATGTATTCTTTAGATAAAGGTGAATTTTTTCATTGTATTACTAGTCAAAATTTTATTGATTTTTATTGCGATATTTTTAATTTTGTTGATTTTTAGATTTGAAATAACGAAAATGATGAAAACTTTTCATTTTCATGAACACAGTAATCTATGAAATAATCTAATTTTATTTTTTTAATTAAAAATCAACGAAATTAATAGTAAAATAATAAAAACTATCATTTGCATTAGCAAAATTTTTTGTAAAATATTTCGATTTCGTTACTTTTTGTCCAACAATCAATGAATTAAAAATACAATAATAAAATATTATAAAATTAAAATTACAGAAGCAAAATTGAAAAAATAATGAAATTAAATTAAGTACCATGACAAATTTTATTAACGTATGCTAATTAATTCACCTTTGCTCCCTCTATAGTTTAAGGAATTTGATGAAATCGAGGACATATAGGAAGCACAGCTGTAAACTCAAACCCAGTAGGCCAAATACCTTAATTTCATGAAAGTGAGTCACCACTGAAGTTGATTAATTAATTGAGATGCTGATAAAATTAATAAAACTCCAACACTCTTAACAATTTATCTTAGCTAACTCCTAATTAATTCCTAATCCAACCACCTTTTTTTCTTTTTTAATTTTTTTTCTTGTTTGTGGTGATTATAGGTAATCTAAGTTGGAAGACAAAAAGAAATATGTTTAAGTGTTTGCAACTACAATTAATTTTTAAAAAAGATAAAAAGATTAAATTAATTAATATACTTAACAACTTAAGCACATTAAAGTTTGCTGTGGTACACTCAACGTTTAGAGCTTAAATTTCCAATTTAAAATCTTGAATTGTGGTCTTGAATTCAAATTATGAGATGAAAATGATTATTAATATATGTTACCAAATAGACGATAGATTATATTTTTTCTTTTTCTTTTTTTTAATTAAATGAGAAAATTTGCTAGAAATCTTGAAATACGGGCCATGTCTTGATTAAGATTTGATCCAAAGCGGTCAACATTCAGCTACCTAAATGTAATATGCATACACATATAATTTTTTTTAGAATTTAGTATTCTCCTTGATAATAAAATTTTTTAGACTCTATAAACAAGATTATTAGGTCTCTTAAGGTATAATTAAAAAAGGAGATATGTAATAATATCTTTTAATTTTTTGAAGTTAAAATAATTTTATTGTTAGTGTATAAAACATAAATTTATTTTTTTATAAAAAAATAATCTGAAAAAAAAAATTACAAATTCTAAAATTTGAACTCCAAAACATATATACGCATACGTTAAATGAATATTTATGTAAATATGTTGGAAACCATATTTGAAAACTTTGCTTAACCCATTGAAAGAGATATGTACGTGATTCCAAATTTCAAGATTAGATTCCATTAACACTCGATTGCCCAAGTTCTACTATTTCTTTGGGAAGGAAAAATAAAAATTATCGATTTATAAAATATATTAGTAATTATAAAATCTTTTGAATTATTTTGGGTTTGGATTCGAACATTCTAGATGGATTGAGGGCAAACACCAATTGGGCTTAGAATCAACACTGCTTTCAAGCTTGACCCAATTCAGTTTAGTTCTATTAAATCCTTAAGATTGCCCAAGTTGGACCTTTTTTTGTTTTCTTCAAGTCCGAAGCTAGCACACTATCATTCTGTTGCCGCCATGCCATGAATCCTGTTATTTCTCTCTAGCCAGATAAAATAAAGAAAGGCGCACCAAGTTACTTAGCGCAACTGCAAATAATTAGTGTTTTTCCTTAAAAAAAATCTTTGCTGCACCGAATTAAACTCATAACATCAATCCCCAAGCTGCATGCCTATGAATGCAACGCTACTACTGGAGCTAAAGCTGCTTTGAGAAGGTACAAGATGAAAATAAAACGATTTCTAGTCTCCAGCACCTCATCACACAATAACTCAATTACTGTTAACAATGAACAATTCCCACGAAGAAATCCTTTGTTTAGTAGGTAGCCAACCAAGAATTACCATCCAGGCTAGAATGGCATACGAATGAGTGGAAAACGTTTTTGCTTTTTATTTTATTTTATTTTATAAAAATTAATGAATGGAAAGAACCTATCGGTAGTATCTTTTTATTTTTTTATTCTTTTTGGTAGGAAAATGGGTAGAATTTGTCATGTTATGGATTTTTGAAAGCCTACGCTGCTGACTTTTGGCTAGGGTTGGCATCGGGTCGGGTTCGGGGCGGGTTTTGCTCGCCCCGAACCCGACCCGATTTAAGCTTTATTAAACCCGAATCCGACCCTACCCGAAATTTTTTTTTTATTTTTCATACCCGAACCCGACCCGACCCCCGACACCACGCAACCGTACCCGACCCGATCCGACCCGAAATTAATAAAATATTATTTTTTTAAATATAAAATATTATTTTTTAAATATAAATATTTAAAAATATCATTATATAAATATATATAAAATAAAAAATTAAATAATTAATTAAAAAATAATTTTTTATATAATATCGGGTCGGGTCGAGTCGAATTTTAGATAAACCCGACCCGACCCCGAAACCCGAATTTCAAAAAAAAACCCGACCCCGTGAGGTCGGGTCGGGCCGGAACCCGTCGGGGACGGGTTAACTCGCCATCCCTACTTTTGGCTTCGGTAATCATGTACGTACAACGTACCTTAGTTTGAACCTAGACAGAAGAGTTTTCAGATTCGATTACACGTCAAGTCTTCAGCTTCTTCCGACTCCAGGTATATTTCTTAGCTATTTCCTAGTAAACAGAATATATATATATATATATATCTTGAATTTTTTATACTAGTACATACGAACGAGGAGACTTTCAATTTTGTGGATGTCATATCAATACATGGGTGATGGATTAGGGAGCACTCAGTACTGCAAAAATTTCCTTGAACTTTAATCTCTTTATTTTTTGGCATTATGAATCCTAATGAGGGCTTTTCGAAGTCAATGTCGATTTTAAAATGTGAAAAAAGCCAATTCCTTTGAGAACTGAAAAGTTATTTGTTTGATATGAGTGTGAATCCAAGATTTATTGTAGCTTATTCCTTTCATATTTGCTTACCAGTTCCAGTTCCAGCCTTTTCACTTGTAAATATTAAAGCCTATATAGTAAATATATATCCATCCATGTTCAGATACTAAACAAAGGTGATCCAAAATCTTGATTTCAAACCTTTTGATAAAGTGTTTAACTAAAATTAAAGATGAAATTTTTTCCTCACTTTTAACAAATTCAACTCATAATAAAACATTACAAAAACGTTAGGTCAAGAACCATTGCAAATGATAACCTTTCTGATTAGGTGCAATTAGGTTTGATGCTGTCTTGTCCCAGCCATTGGGGTTAGGCAAAAAGAAAAGAAAAAAAATTGTTGTCCTCACTAACTCTGAACCAAGCAGAGTAAAGCTGTGACTATTTTATTAGGCAATTGATATTATTAATGATAACTCAATATGTGTCACCCAACTACTAGCAGCAAGGTTTTATGATTGGGCTATAGTCATTAAGCTTTTTCATCATGTGTTGAGATGGACTCACTCGCTGTCGTCTGAAGTTAAATTTGCCAAACATAAGAAATCATAATATCTTTAGATTGAGGTTGGTTCTCCTCGACGAAAAAGTTTTGGATTCGAGTTCTGTCGGTGATTATTTATTGGGATCATCTCGAATGTACGATTTGAAATTACTTGTCTTAAACTATCAGATACAACACATTTTATCTTGATCTAAAAGACTGAACAACTTACTTACCTTCAAATTTTTGATGTAACAATAATAATAATAATAATAATAATAATAATGATATCTTTAGGTTAGCCTTGACGTTAAGAACACTATAAGGTTTTCGTTGAATCAAGTTCGTTAAGAAGCCACTAATCTCTTTAAATTCATTGCATTCGAAAGTAGGTAGGACTTGACAAATACTGAAGATTAATCATCCATCATTAATTAATCTTATTCAGGTCAAATACATTAAAATATTCTTGGTTTTACATCTGAAAAAAAAAAAGGAAAAAGCAAAAGTTTAGATGGAAATTCAACTAATTGTAGGAAAGGACATGCCTTAATAATGTTTTAAATGTTTTCTTTTAAATCTTTAACGTGGTGGGTAGATATGAAAAAGAGAAGAGGAAAAAGGATGTAAACTTAAAGTTAAACTGAACAGATTTCCAATCCAAGTTTTGGAAATTTTCAACTTATTTTGTTGAATATGCAGAGACAGGAATGTGTAATTGACAATTATTGATGATGATATATAGTTGAATTTATTTGATTTTTCCATGTTTTTGTTTTGTCATATTTTATTCCTTTCATATATATTATTATTATTTGCTTACTTTCATGGTTTACTGCAACTTAAATAATTAATCTAGGTTTTTGGCAAAGTCTTCCTCTCTCAATATCACCCTTATTTCCAAAAGCCAGGAAGAAATTTTGGGTATCTTTTCTAGCTGTACATTCATTCATTGATTGAGTAACAACAATTACCATTTTTAGTTTAAAGGCAAGATATTCAATTTACTTTTTGAATATCTTCTTCCTATTGTAATAAAAAAAAATAGCATTGCCCTAATTAAATCAGATGAAAAAGAATTAAAATCTCTTCCAATCAATCCATTAATTAATGCTTGGGAAATAGGAGGTAGTTAATTAATTAGGATTCATTGATAACAGGTCCATCTAATGGATAGAATTTTGATAAAGTTAAAAACAAGTGTAAATGAATATATATATATATATATATATATATATATAGATTCATAAATTACTTGAGTTTGATCTAAATAATTTCTTAAGATTTAATTAGATTTTAAGTGATTTGTTTTTTCAAAAAAACAAAATTCATCATTGGCTTTAAAGAATTTCTATATCCCCGCCCCTTGTCTACGCAACTTTCGAAATTGACCTCACAATTATGCTTAATTCATGACATAAGGATCCAATGACACATTACTAGAATTGGTTCATTATCATTTTCAACCACCAATTAATATGCCTATGCTAGAATCTTATAATAGGTTCCTTCATTGGCCTAATCACAAAGATTAGGTTTAATATTGGCCTAATGTTGAGTCTATCTAGTAACAAAATGGATCATTATGACATTATGGCACTAAATCAATTTATAACGAATTAATTGAAATATCACGCATCAACATCGAATTATTTATTAATTATTTTAATTTAATAGTCAAGTATATTATATTTTTTTAAAGAAATTTTTTTTTTTAGTTTTGAAATTTAACTCAAATTATTCATCTAATTTTTACCAAAAAAAAAATGAATTTTAGTAAAGTTGGGATTAAATTTCTTGCACTTGCAAATTCTCTTTCCTCAGTGTCTCTACACCTTGATTTCTTTTATAAAAAGAATTTTTTTTCAATAAAAATTGTCGACAGATTAAATTCTAATAATTGAAATTAAAAAATTAAAATTCTATTAATAGACTACATATTTGTTGATTTAAAAAAAATCTTTATAAATTTGAACTTGACTCTTACTTTAAAAAAGTATATCCGGCCGATCCCAAATTGAAAAAAAAAAATAGATTACATTATTTATATTATATATGTTGATAAAATCTACTTGTGATTAATGTGGTATGTAATTGTTACCTTTTGGTTTGGGGTGATTCACACATGTTAACTAATAAAGCATAAAGCTAGCTAGAAGTGGCTCGGATATTTTACCCATTGCCACTAATTGGTAAATTATGATAATGCTCCACTTTACCCATCCAAACTAAAATGCATGTAACCGGTCATACATACATTCCTTTTTTCTTTATCTCAAAGATAACACTTGACCACAGGCTCTAGCCTCTAAGCCTTTGATGTGTGTGGTCAGGCCCCTTTGGGGTGGCGATCGCATAGGGTTCAAGCCCCACCAAAGCCTACTTCCCATTCTCCAAATGTGAGCAAAAGCAAAGAAAAAGTAAGAGTGATACATACTCAAAACTCAAAAGTTAAAGCTGACTGAGTCCATTTTCTTTCGATTCATAACATCATCGTACAAGAAACAAACAAACAGGGAAAATAGAAGACATTTAATTCACCAATAACTGTTCTCCAACTGGCATTATCCCCAATTGAAACACAGTCAACCCCATGTCTCTCTCTGACTTGGCTTGGTCCGTGGCCAAGCTTCTCCTTCTCTTAGGAGAGGGACTATCGTACAACGAAGCTGACTGATCATGTTCCCGACGCTTAGCCGTGACTCTAACGGGCTCAGGCTCATTGTTGCCAATCCTGTCTGGGAAATTAAGCAAAGCCCTGGACCCACGCATTTTATAAGCAGCTCGATCATAAGCCAAGGCAGCTTCCTCAGCAGTGTGGTAGGTGCCTAGCCAAACTCTTGCCCCACTCTTAGCCGGGTCTCTGATCTCCGCCGCGAACTTTCCCCACGGCCTTTGCCTAACTCCCCTGTAATGTCTCCGTTTAACAACTTTTTTATGCCCATTTCGGAAGCACTCTTCGTGTTTTCCCATCAAAAAATAACTTCCATGTTCGCTATTTATTCCCATGAAAGCACTTCCAAATAACATTTGAGTTGCAGCAGTAGTAGCTACAGGTAATTGAGTCAACCCCGTTGGTTTCACTTCCATAACCGGTGTCATCACCTCAGGCTCGACTTTAACGGCGGCTGCAACAGTTGAATCCGAGGGAGACCAACCACAGTTGAGAGCTTCGTGAAGGGAGTTGTAGATGATCATGTCCTCAGAGTCATCAACCTTCAAAGGTAAATCACCCCAGTGTTCCGTCAAGCATGAGTTAAGACAGGTAAAGCTTGAAGTTCGAGGATATTGATGAGAAAAGCTCAACTCCAACATACTAACCTCGTTCATTCTATGCAACTTATGGTTTTAGCTTTAATCAATGGTATTAAAGCAATGAAAAACCAAAGAGAAAAAATGAAGAAGAAAGAGATTATGAATTGACACAATTTAGAGAGAGCTAAAGGGTATTTATAGAAGGGAAAGAAAAATAAAAATTAAAAAATTGGGCAGATTATAATTAATTGGGTTGATTTTAGAGTCGCTATGAAATTTGTGAAATGCAAGTGGGCAAATTGGGAGGGGCCGTGTGACACGTGATGGATAATGGATGAGGGTCCGACAGTTTTCGGAAATTATAATCTAAAATATGATATAAAAACAAAATATAAAAATAATATATTTATAAATTTTAAAAATAATTATATATAAATTTAATAAAATAAAAAATATTTTTTATTTTTATATTGATATATAATTATTTTATAAAATATAATATAAAATATATAAATTTTAATATTTTATTCTACACATATATTTGGATCATCATATATAATTTCTGATGTATTGTAGAAACCTGACATCAGCTTATGTATAATCATAGGGCGCATAAGGACAAGGCCACTTTTACGTTACCCGCGGGGTGGTGTTGGCAATTAATGAATAATGATCAATAACTTGAACCAATGACTTACACCTACACCAATACCATTAATTAAGGCTATTATTTTTTTAATATAATTTTGATTATTATTCATAATTATTATTTTTAAATTTACGATTGATCCTAGATATATAACTGATGATGATTAATATATTTTGAAGAAAAACACTTACTTGACTTTTTAATTTTTGTTTTTTTTTGCTTTATTCCTCATGGTTTTTCTATTGCTTATTTCTTTAATTTGAAATTTATGCGTTTATACTTAGAAATAGAAAATTATAATTAAAAATAGATTGATATCTAAACACAAGGGAAACGAGCATACTCTTTCGTATAAAAAATTAAAGAGATTTTAATTTGAAACAAAGGAGGTGAACATTTTCTTCATATTAGGAAAAGACAAAAAGCATGTTGATCCAAAATCCCTGACATTAAAATTTTATCCAATAAAATATAGCCTCCTATTTATTGTAATTAATTAAGAAGTCCAAGAGGGAAGCTAAAATATGAAAAATACTTCACAAATATTTTATTTTTGTCTTTTTCTTGGTTAGTACAGAAAATTATTATTATTATTATTATCTATTTGTAGTATTTTTTTTAATTACATAATTATAAAGACCTTTATCTCATATACTGCATAAATCATGGATGGGAATCATCTTCCAATATTAAACAATAGTGACTTTGGCCATAAAAAATGCTTTAGCAACATGCTTTAAGAGAGAAATATTAATTACTTTCTATTTAAGTGAGGTTTATTAATTTATTTAATTAATAATGTATCCCCCTTCCTTTTTTAATAGTTTATGCCGTGGTCAGTTTGGTTATCTAAAGATAAATGATAGAAAATTTATTAAAACACAAACAACAAATAAAAAGGTTAGACAAGGATATCTTTATCTTATACCATTGAATCAAATACTCAAATTTAAAAAAAAAAAATCAAATTCCAAAATACTAATCAAAGGAGTTCTAATATTTTAAAAAAATTAGATAAACAAATTATTATAATTTTTATTAATACAATAATTATAATAAAGGATCACGACACGATTGTTATATCTTTATCTTGATTCTCTCTTTTCAAACATAATAAAATATTAAAGCTGTTTAGAATAATTCTGCCTCCCGCAAAGGCATATATATCAACCTTGTTTGGAATTGTTTTCCTCAATTGCTCAACAAGATTTAAAGCTTTCAAGGCTATAATCAGTTCCATTACTGTGGTTGGGTATTAGAAGTTTAATCAACCAAAAAGAGAAAAGGACTCGAAAAAGAAACAACAATTATCAAAAATATGAAAGCAAAAACCAATCAAAGATCTAAAAAAAATGGAATAGATACAAATAAAATTGTGAAAAGTAGTAGGTGTAGGACCCTTTTTTTTCATAGATGCAAGTGCTTTTCATGCTTTTTTTCCTTGTACGTTACAAATGTAACTTGTCAACGGAATAAATAATAGGTAGTTGCTTTAATTAATTTTGTGATAGGACTCATGGCAATTAAAATTTACACTGAGGACGGTTTCTCTATTAAATTCATCAGCCCTGCTCAATTTCTTGGCATCTATTAATTTTACATACATTTTCCAACTAAAGTCAATTTTATCTGATTAAATCAATTAGTTAATTCGAATTTTTTTATTCAAGATTATCAATGATAAACCTTATTGACTAAGATTAAAATTTTAAAAATTTTTAATACCAATAAATTACATGAATTTGGGCAATTAATTCGGGTTTTATTACTGTTTCCCATTATGAACAAGAAGTTATCAGGTGCGTTGTTGTAAATAAGGTATTGAAAGAACTATATATTGATGACTTTAAAAGAAAATCTTCTCTCAATGCTCGTTGCAAGTTGTTGCAATTTTTTTGATATACTAGTATTAGGCAATTTGGCGTACTTTTTCTTTCTTTTACATACGTGAACTTCTTTTCATCCACAAGAATCAATCTAGTGGATAAGGAGAGGAATCTCAATCTTTTATGAAAAATATTTTGATAATAAAATTTTAAATGAACCAAATTGATATGAGTAAAGATGATAGTTCAATTTGTTTATGATAAATTTTGATCTTACTTGATTTTTTACGGTTGATCTTTTTTTTTAAAATTAGGTTTTAGGTTAGGTTAGATTGGATAATAGTAAAAAAAAAAATTGAAATTGAATTTTAGATAAATTCGATTTTATCAGACCTGATATATAAAAAAATTATTTTTTTAATTAATTATTTAATTTTATATATTTATTTAATTTTATATTTATATTTAAAAATAATATTTTATTAATTTCGAGTCGAATCGAGTGGTTTATATAATATTAAATCTAGTATAAAAAATAAAAAAATTATTAAATTAAATTGGATTCAAATATTATAAGTATAAAGTCGAATCAAATTTAAAATGAGAAAAACCCACTTCAACCTGACTCATTATCATCTTTAGATATGAGTGAATCATAAATATATCTTTAAAATCATTGAAATAAATAATTATGTTTAAATAAAACTTAAAATATCACTAATTATAGCATAACAGATATAATTATGTTTAGACAAAACCTAAAATATCACTAATTATAGTATAGCAATTGTAAAATTTTTATCAATTGTTAATTATAACATTAGTTAATCATAATTTTACTCTCCACCTCTAAGTCCAACCAAAAAAATCATTGATCCTGTATTTTGCAACAACATCATTAATTTAAGCTCCATGGGTAATTTTTTATGATCAGATAGATTTGTCATGAACTGATGACATCTTCTTCTGTCTTAATATATAGTAGGATTAATGGTACTTTCGTTTTGGAAAAAGTGAAGAAATGAAATACTATTCTCCCTTTTTTTTTTTTCCACAATCATTAGTTTCACATTTCCACATGGAGGGAAAATGGTGGATGGTTTCCAAATCTAAGCTGTTGCTTTGTCATTAGAGAGAGAGAGAGAGAGAGAGAGAGAGAATGGTATGAAAGTGATGGTGATATGGCCTGTAGATCTGTTGTATTTGGAAAACCTTTCATAAAGCAATGTAAGAAGCGTGTTTGTATTCTTCCAAAACACTCCAATAAATCCTCCATTAATTTTTTGTTTTAATTTGTCTAAATTGAAGGGTTTGGAAAATAAAGGAAGGAAATTTAACCTTATAAAAGATATATAACTATAAAGATTGTAATTAAAAAAAATATTTCCTTCCTTTTCGTAAATATTTTTTAAATATATAAAACGTCATAATTTTAAAATAAAAAAATTATAAATATTAAAATTTAAATTCTAAATTTATTAAATATTATTTTTTAAAAGTAATTGTATGAATTAATTAAATTAAATTATAAATTTTTTTCTTAAATAACCTTTTGCTAAATCATAATTGCTATGTAACATATCTAACCTTTTCTTAATCAATCTAAAAAAAGCATATTCCCTTTTGCCCTTTCTCCATTTCCTCCACCCAGTCACTTTCTTTACTATCCCTTCCTAATTCTTAAAATTATCTATTTTTTCTTTGCACTATGAATTCTATTGATGCTCTTTCAACAATTTTTAATTTACTATTTATGATAATGTTTTATATTAAATATAATAATTAATAGTTAATTTGATAAATTTTAATGCAATAAAAATAGTAATTTACCTAATATTATAATTTTAAAAACTATTCTTAAGGCACTCAATTAATAAAACCATTTAAATTACAAGGGAAAGAGAGATTTGGGATGAAAGATTTTACATATTTATTTGAACTTTTAAGACATTGTCGTAATGGTTTTGTATTTATCCGACGAATTTGAAAACAAAATAAAAATATAACAGAGTCGCCACCAATCTTTTTTGTCTAGGTGCAATTGATCACTTATTAAAATTTATCCTTTTAAAAAAATTTATTAAAATTTATTAAAAATATAATTTTATGGTCTGCGAAACAGTCTGAGTTCAGGAGTCGGTTACGTTTTGGGAAGGATTAGTACCCCACAGCACCTGTTTAGAAATGGTACCACTTAACTACGTGTTATCCTATGATTTTAATAAAAACAGTCTTATTTCTTATTTTTTTATTTATTAAAAATTAGTTTTTTTTTAGTGCTCGAATTTTATTTGAGAAAAATAACTTAGAACCTTTTTATTGAAATAATTCTTAAAATGTTCTAATACATTGGTAACATTAGAAGAACCTTTTCTCACCTAAAAATTTCTTAAGCATCACTTCTCGGAATACCTTAGAATCTTATTCTTGGGAGTTCAAATTTACTTTTCGTTAAAAACTATGTCATGCATGCAATACAGAATGTTACCATGTTGATTCACACATTTTATTTTCTTTTTTAAAAATTTTTATTAATTGTTTTATTAATCTTTTCATTTAAAACTTTGAAAAAAATGAAAATTTTATTATATTGAAGTTTTCTATAAATATTTCTGTAGACACCCAATTTGGTCCAGGCCCGGATCAATTGAGTTTGGTCGAAATGGGTAAGCCCGTTTTATTTTTTTTTATTCTGGTATTTTTATTTTTTTGTATCTTAGTTACTTATTATT